TAATCATGGCCAGTCCACCCACACACACACACACACACACCCACCCACACACACACACACACACACACACACCCACCCCTTGGAATATATGTTAATCCTAATTCCTTGCCTCCCCTCTGTTTCCTTTTCTCCCTTGTGCCCTCTCTCCCTTTCCTCTGTTTCCCCTCTCCCCTTCCTTTCTCCCTACCGTTGACCCTCTCCCCCCTCCCTCCCCTTGGCTTCCCCTCTCTCTTCCCATTGGCTCCATCCATCCTCCATTCCCTTCTCCCCTCCTCCATCTCTTTCCCCCCACCATTCCCTCTGCCCCCCCCCTCCTCCTACCCCCTACCCCCCTCCCTCCTACTCCCTCCCCCCATGTACGCTGGAGGCAGGACCCAGATGTGAATGAACCTCTCCCCCCCCCCTCTCTTGTTTACACTGCCAAGGTAAATGTATACAACAATTGTTAATCTTGTTTGCCGACTGTAAAAAAATATATAAAAATTGGTGCTGTAATTTTTTTGAGTCTTTGAGCCAATTTATGTACTTGGGTGATATAATCCTTAGCTGGAAAAATTATAGAATAAATTTAAGGTTTTTTATTTTTTTTCTCGTTATTTTTTACGGGGATTAATTGCAGCGGTGATTTACAAAGGTGATTTTTTTATTATTATTTATTTATTATTTTATGTAAATTTGGGTCGTTTTTTTTATTATCTACAACGAAGGATTTCAAAGATATTAATTTTACTTAATTTTTTATACATATATATTTTTTTAATTTTGACTGGAAATAATAATATAAACTTACCCTAACCTAAACCACAATGTAAATTTGGTTCATTATTCCACTGTAAAAAAAAAGGTATTTATTTTTATTTAACCTAGAGAGTTAACATGTAGATTCTCAAAGGGATATTTATTAATTAGTTATGTAAATTGGGAAACTCATCTGTAATGCAAAGGTAACTGATCCGTGTGTGTGTGTGTGTGTGTGTGTGTGTGTCTTTACTGCGTCGCGTACAAAAGGTGTTCGTACGTCTGGCTCTTAATTAACGTGCAGGTAGAGAGCTCAGGTGAGTATGCCCCCAGACACTATACTCTAAAAATATATAATGGCATGTTCTGTGTCTGTCTGTCTGTGTCTGTTGATAAGTGCGTCTGTCTAGAAGTGTCTGTTGGTAAGTGTATCTTTTTCTAAGTGTCTTTGTTGATAGGTGTGTCCGTTCGTGCGTATATCCGTCCGTCCGTCCGTTTATGGTGTGCCTGTCCGTCTATCCGTTTATTGGCGGTCAATTCGATTCTATTTTTAGTTTATTTCAGCCACTGTTTTTTATTCGTTATTGGCCATTTGCTTTTTATTTTTGGTTTATTGTGAGGTAATTTTATTTAATTTTTTTTATTTCAGTGTATTGCCGGCCGTTTTATTTTTATGGATTGCCGGCCATTTTTATTTTATTTTAATTTATTGCCGGCCATTTTTATTTTATTTTAATTTATTGCCGGCCATTTTTATTTTATTTTAATTTATTGCCGGCCATTTTTTTTTCTACTCCAATATGTTGCCGGCCATTTATATTTTATTTCCAATATACACTGTCGGCAATATTTCTTTTATTTACAACAGTTCAGCCGACCATTTTTAGTTTACCTTCAGCCGTTGGAAATGAATTTGAAAAGCCGTAGTTGGGAGGGGAGTTAGTTGAGGGGGAGCAGTCGTGTGTGAGAGAGATAGAGAGAGTGTGAAAGAGAGAGAGATAGAGAGAGAGATTGAGAATGAGTCGGTGAGAGAGAGAGAGAAAGAGAGAGAGAGAGAGTAAATGACTATGTGAGAGAGAGAGAGAGAAAGTGAGTGAGATAGAAGGAAGAGAGTAAGAAAAAGAGAGGATAGAGAGAGAGAGAAAGAAAGAAAGAAAGAAAGAAAGAAAGAGAGAGAGGTGACCCCGCTTTCTGGTGTCAACATGGCCAGGTATTATTTATCATATACATATTTTATACTTGTTTCTGTTTGTTTTGTTTGTTCTGTTTGTTCTGTTTGTTCTGTTTAGTTTTGTTTTTATTTATTTTCTGACGTGAGATATATTTAGAGATTTTGTGGCTCTGTTTTGTGGAAATTATTTGTTCATTGCCTTTTTTATATACTTTTTGTGATTTTTTTTTCAGACTAGTTTAAGGTTTTGTAATTTTTTTTTAGGGATTTTTGGGGGCTAAATTTTGTAACTTTTTTTAGGGATTTTGGGTTAAATTCTGTAGCTTTTTTTTGGTAGTCATTCTAAATTCTGGAGCTTTTTTAGTATTATATATTTTTGGTAATATTTTTTTTTTCCTTTTTGTGGACTGTAGCAAAATTCCTTAACACTTGTGATTTAGTATAAAAAAATTGTATCACTTTTGAATTGAAGAAAAATTTTGACTTTTATATTCCTCTGCATTGAATATTTTACCACTTGTGTTTTTCTTTGCTTATATCAACAGAAAGTTTCTAGGAAGTTACAAGTAATGGAACCTTTACCACCCTACCGCTTTGACGCCCACACAACTGCTTTGTCTGTCGCCCACCCACTCTATAACTCCGCCCATTTTACGTATCCTTCACACACCCACCCCACCCACACCACCCACCCCATCCACACCACCCACCTCACCCACATACACCCCTTATCTGCTTCTGCATTTGCAAGTACACTAGCGGCCATTAGCGAGGAAGCAGCGCCCTGGAAATAATATAAATGATTTTTTTTTTGCGTCTTCGTCTTTCGTCTGATGCTGCTCGGCCGGCCTTAAGTTTTACACGGCTCTTACACCAGGCGGCGGGGGAGTCTCTTTTTTATGTCGAGGGCGTTTGGTCTTGTGTCCCGCTGAAGAATTACGTGAATAGAAAGCTTGGGTGAGGATTTGTCAAGTTGCTTAAATTTGAGAAACGTGTGGGTGTGTGGGTGAAGGGTGGAGTGTGTGTGTGTGTGTGTGTTTTTTTTAAGAGGTGGGAGGGAGAGGGGGGGGAGGTGGAGAGGAGAGGGGAGGGGGAGAGATTGTGAAGGAGTTAGGTGATTAAGTGTTTGGAGAGAGAGAGAGAGAGCGAAAAATATAGAAAGAAAGGAATGTAGAGAAAATGAGAGATAAAGAAGGAAAAAGAGAGAGAGAGAGAAAAGAAAGCTGAGACGTAAATGCCACAGTCTGGAAGGGAACCCGGTTTTATTGGTTTCGAGAATGGCCAGCTAGACGTGTTGCTGTTGGTGGTAACTGGAGTGATTGTGGTAGTAGAGAAGGAATGGTTGTTGCTCTTGTAGTGGTTGTTGTTATTATTGTCCTTGTTGTGTTTTGTTGTTAGTGTTGTATTTGTTGCTCTGGTATAATATTCAGGGTTGTGTTGTGGTCAGTGTTATTATTATTATTACTATTGTTATTATTGTTGTGGTTATTATTATTATTATTGTTGTTGTTGTTAGTAGTTGTAGTAATTTATAACACTACAATTACAACTATTATTATTGTTGTTGTTGTGGTAGTTTGCGGTAAGAACACTTAAACGATTTAGAATTTATAAATACAATCGTAATTACCAGGAGGCCTTAATGAGGGTAAGACCAGTAGGCCTTAATGAGAACACCAATTAGGTATTTAATGAGGTATAATGACCATTGGGAGGAGCACAGTGAATGTTAAATGGTAGTTGGTGCCAGTTTAGTGTGAGTGGGGAGGCTGTAACCAGGTGATTCAGCTGTTTGTTATTGTGGTAACTGGCTTCTTCGAGGGAATTTGTAAGATTTTTTTTTTGATTTTTTTTAAGGAATTATGAATACTTTTTAGGCTTGTGGTCTCTCTCTCTCTCTCTCTCTCTCTCTCTCACCATAATTACATATATCCTCCCTCCTTCCCTCTCTCCCTCCCTCCTTCTCTCCCTCTCTCCCTCTCTCCCTCTCTCCCTCCGCTGTTATTGTCTATACTAGGATCTCATTATATATACTTTAGCCTTTTGTAACCTTATCTACCTGGACCAGAAAGTACCTGTGTGAGGGGGGGGGGTGTGGTGAGAGATGAGGTAGTGAGGAAAGGAGGGTAGAGGTGTGTGTGTGTGTGTGTGTGGGCAGGCAGGAAGAGTTAGTTGGTGGTCATGTTTGAAGCAGCTGTGTGTGTGTGTGTGCATGACCAGAGAGCATAATGTCGTGTTGGTTACAAGGGTGGTGGTGATGGTGGTGTGTCGTGGGGGTGGTAGTGGTGGTGACCGCCTCTGGTGTAATGGTCAGCCTGCTCGCCTCGTAAGCCAGTGGACCCGGGTTCGAATCCCGGGAAGGGTGAAACTATGGGCAAGTTTCTTTACGCCATTTGCCTCTGTCTGCCCAGCAGTAATTGGGGAACTGGATGTTAATCGCGCCTAGGTGGCCCTTGGGCCGGCCATCCTCGTTACACGAGGGGCAACCATTATTATTAGTGGTGGTGGGGTGATGCCTACAGGCCACAGGGGTTCAACCGGGTGGATGAGACCTTGTGCTGGGAGCTATGGTAGAACTGGTGTGGTGTGACAGGTGTGGTGAGACAGGTGTGGTGAGAGATCCCAGCTAGAATGAATGTGTGACGGGTCATGACAGTGAATGTGTTGTGTTCATGTCAGCCCCGTGTTGTTGTGGCCAGGGACGATGGAGAGTTGAATAGTTATTATTACCATCATCATCATAACCACACAAGCGTCGTTTTTTGAAATATATGAAACTGGTGAATTAAAATCATAATTATTGACTCTACCGACCAGAACGTGTGCGTCAGTCCCCATGTATAACCGCCACAGATGTCAACATTGCCGCATAATTTAGTAATCTTTTATGTTATTATTATTATACTTAATTATATCTAATATATCGTTATTATCAACATTATTTTAGGTTTTAAGAATAAATGAGTATTTTTTCTTATGAGATGAAAGTTATTTTAGAAGAAATATATAAATGTGGTTGTGTTTTTTACGAGCAGTGAGTCGGCCGCCATTGTCACGCTTCTTCTAATATTTTTCCTCTTTCTTCTCTCAGGAAACTTCGCTCATCCTCCAAGATGCCGTCCTCTATTGCTGTGCCCCCAGAGCAGGCCTCCCTCCTAGGGTAAGTGCAGCGTGTGTTGTTGCAGCCGTGTTGTAATCAGAGTAATGTGTCGCTTCAAGTCGCGCCATCTGTGCCGGATGATGTTTTTGCTCGCCTCTCACGGCCGGGGAGGGAAGCTCGTGGTGACAGTCGCGCGATATTGTCCTCCCAACTTTTATTTATTTCAGATAACACATTTAATAAACCTGGAAACTTAATTATTAAAGAAATTTCACCTATTAGTAAGCACTGTTGTCTTACCGAGTGTGTCAGTAGAACAAAACTGGAAAGGTTTAATTAGACGCCTATCTAACTTAACCTAACCCAAATCTAACCTAACCAAATTATACCTTATCTAATCTAACCTCACCTCACCTCACTAAATCTAACCTAAACACGGTCTGTTATCGTTAACGGCGCTGTAAAATTACTTCAGTATTGCTGGAGTTTACATTTAGCCCATTTGATCAACGCCCACTGCCGCCATGAACCAGTGCCTTGTGTGACACTAATGGGGAGGGTGGCGAGCGAGGCCGGGAATAACCTAACATATGTGTCATACGGTAACATATGTGTCATGCGGTAACGTGTATGTGCCGTGCAGTAACATATGTGTCATGCGGTAACGTGTATGTGTCATGCGGTAACGTGTATGTGCCGTGCAGTAACATATGTGTCATGCGGTAACGTGTATGTGTCATGCAGTAACATATGTGTCATGCAGATATTGTTCATCTTCCTGAAAGCCACTGCTCGACGCCCCTATGTTGGGGAGGATTTTATTACACCTGCATGATGGTATGTGTGTCTCCGTCTCAGGGTATGTGTGTATGTGTGTGTTCAGGTGTGTGTGTGTGTGTACATATCTGTCTGTTTGTTTGGGACACAAGGTAAATTCCAGGCCAACGGGATTAGGTTAGGTTAAGTTAGGTTTGGTGTGGTGGTATTTAACCTGTGTGTGTACCGTCACGTCTCAGCGTTGGGTTGATGTAAGTGACGTGTGCGTTTTTTTACCTCTCTCTCTCTCTCTCTCTCTCTCTCTCTCTCAGGAGGGAACATTAAGCTAATTCTCTTAATTCTTTTGTAATCAGATTAACGTTTTATCTCTCAGAGGACACAGTGTTGTGTTGGTGCCTGTCTCCTTGAAGCTATTACTCCTTCCTTCCTTCCTTCCTTCCTTCCTTCCTTCCTTCCTTCCTTCCTTCCTTCCTTCCTTCCTTCCTTCCTTCCTTCCTTCCTTCCTTTCTTTCTTTCTTTCTTTCTTCCCTTTTCATTTATTCCTTCTTTTCTTCCTTTCTTTTTCCTTCCATCCGTCCTTTTCTTTTCATTCGTTCCTTCTTTTTATTCCTTTCTTCATTCCTTCCTTCCTTCCTTTCTTCCTTCCTTCCTTCCTTCCTTCCTTCCTTCCTTCCTTCCTTCCTTCCTTCCTTCCTTCCTTCCTTCCTTCCTTCCCTTCCTCTTTTTTCTTACGTTGTTCTGCCTTCTCTTCACACTATTTACTGCCTCCCATTATCTTTAATCTATGGTCCATTTCTCTCGTCCTGCGGTCCAGTCTCCCTCACTCCATGGTCCACCTTCCCTCCCTCCATGGTCCACCTCTCACTCCATGGTCCACCTCTCACTCCATGGCCCACCTTTCCTCGTTGCAACATGGCCCGGTTGCATGCATCACACGCACCATCACTCACACTGCAGTTGTTAGTCTCTATCTGCCGTTGCATCGACTGTGTGACCTGGAATAATTATTTGTCGGGTCTTTCATCCAGTTTACATTGAGTCGAGGTATTTTTAGCTGTAACGCCCCTAATGGTTGGCTATTTGAGGCTCTCCTGCCGTTGTGCTGAACCCCGGTAAAGCGGCACTGTTAGGAGGTGGCACTGTTAGGGTAATGTGGCACTGTTAATTTATGGCACTGTTAGGGTAATGTGGCACTGTTAATTTATGGCACTGTTAGGGTAATGTGGCACCGTTAGAGTATTGTGGCAATGTTAGGGTAGTATTGGCACTGTTCGGCTAGTATTGGCATCTGTTAGAGTAGTGTGGCACTGTTAGGATAATTACACTATTAGGTTAAAGTGCCATTGTTCAGGTCGAGTGACACATCGAAAAAGGTCAAATTCGTCGGATTCAGAGAACTGCTTTTGTAGTTTAGGTTAATGGAGTCATTGAAACTTCAGGATCAGCCTCGCGCGCGCGCGGTATTAAGAAAATGAACGAGAGGGAGGGGAGAAGGTGGTGGAAGAAAGGAAGGAGGAGGAGGGTATGAGGGAGGAACGGGGGGCAGAGAGACCACAAGGTAGAGCCAGCTTACCCAATATTTTGGTCCTCCTTCCTCCTCTTTCCTGAGTCCTCTCTCCTCATCCTCCTGACACCTCCTCCCTCTTCTACCTCTCCCCTCATCCTCCCATACCTTCCTCCTCTTCCTCTTCCCTGATTCCTCCCATACCCTCCTCCCCTTTCCCACCTCTCTCATCCCTCCTATACCTTCCTTTCCTCCACTCTCCTCATCCTCCCAGGAGCACCCCCTCCCTTCCCCACCTCTCCTCATCCTCCCAGACACCCTCCTTCCTCCTCTTCCCTACCCTTTCATCCCTCCCATACCCCTCCTTCCTCTTCCTATCACCCCTCTCCTCATCCTCCCATACCCTCCTTCCCACTCTCATCCCTCCCATACCTCCCACCTCTTATCCTCCCATACCCTCCCTCTTCCTACCCTCTCCCTCATCCTCTGCGGTCTCTTTCCTCCCTCTTCCCCACCTCTCCTTCATCCCTCCGACACTCCTTCTTTCCCTCCCTACCCTCCTTCATCCCTCCCATACCCTCCTTCCTCAGGCCCTTCATCCCTCCCATACCCTCCTCCTCCCCTCTTCCCTACTCCTTCATCCTCCTGAAATTTCTTCCTCCTCTCCCTAATCTCTCCTGATCCCTCCCACACCTCTTCCCACTCCTTCATCCTCCTGATACCCTCTTGGCTCCCTCAGCTTTACCTTACGCTTTTTGTTGAGAAAGAAGGTGGTGAAATAAATTTAGAGGGAGGAAGGAAGGAAGGAAGTTAATAGTTGGGAAGTTGAAGAAATTTAGGAGGAAGTTTAGAAGGATGCGGGCTGACCACCTTGTTATGTCATGGGTTAGTTATTTGGGGTGGTTATTTTTTTTGGGGGGGGTGAGGGGTTGGTCACTTTGGGGCGCTCTGGCACTAGACAGCCTATAGCCCCCTATCCCATATATGGGTGTTTTGAGGACCTTATTTCATATTCCACCGACCCTACTGGCGGATGCTGGTCTAGGGAGGTTGTCTACTGCCTGGCCGTATAGATCGGGGGTGGTAATGGACGTCTTGAGGTTTGGTAACTTTTTGAGAACCATCTGTAGTTGTTATCTGGTGGGAGTCTTTGTAGGTTTCTTGTTCGTATCGTGGCCAGGGTGTGTAGCTGCTGGTTGATGGGGTTTTATTCTCAGGTCTCTATGTATCTCGGCTGTGGTTCTGGTGAAGGGGTATCTTTCACCTGTGACGAATCTTAGGGCTTCATTTTGGACCACCTGTAATTTTAATATTTAGTTACTGCTGTTTAGGTTAATATCGGTATGATAATCCTTCTCTTACCTTCCCCTCCCTCCATTCTCCCTCTCTCTGTCCCTCTTCCTCCCTTACCCTCTTCCTTCTCTCCTCTCTTTTCCTTCCCTACCGTAGTTTTATGTTAATGCAAGTGTGTGTGTGGTTAGAACATCTCTCATAAGATTCGCCAAGATCCAATAAACCATACTAATAGCCGTCTGCCCCTGGAGATATGGGCCTGTCTCTCAATCCGTCTATCCGTCCGTCCATCCATCTATCCGTCCGTGCTTCTATTTCGTCTGTCCATCTGATTCTATCCTTTCATCCTTCTATTCGTTTGGGTGTCTATTTCTCCGCCTGTCACTTTGTTTTTCCATCTATCCATTCGTCCATCCATCCCTCTATCCGTCCCTTTCGTCCATCCACCCGTCCATATATCTATCCATCCATCTGTCCACCCGTCTATCCATCCATCCTCTCCGTCCCACAGTCGCCATCTAGTCATTTGGGATCACCTGAAGATTAAACACCCCTAACGCTATACCTGGAGGGGGTGTTTGGTTGGGTTTCGTTGGGTTTTGGTTGGGTTTCGTTGGGTTTCGTTGAGTTTTGGTTGGGTTAGGCTGCTTAAGGTTTCACAAATTTTTGGTTGAAGTTAGTAATCATCTTAGTTTGTCTCTTTATAAGATGGAAGGGGGGGAGAGGATAGGAGGCGGTAAGGACCAGATTTAAGAATCAAGGTTAAGGAAGTTGATTTTGTGACTGGTGGAGGTGATGTCATCTTAAGATCTGTCTTTAGGATGGACGCCCTCTCTCTCTCTCTTCACTAATCCTCCAACCAATTCTCATTCTTTTTTTTCCCATTGTTCATCATCACCATCATCATCTCTAATATCCCACACTTCTGCTGGTCAAAAAGAGAGAGAGAGAGAGAGAGAGAGAGAGAGAGAGAGAGAGAGAGAGAGAGAGAGAGAGAGAGTGAGATAGTTTTTGTCACCTTTAGAGAGTCATCATCATACCGGTTAGTGTTTAATGACCCACACCTGTAGGTCATGATGCTTTCTACCTGGCTGACACACACACACACACACACACACACACACACACACACACACACACACAGATAAATGAAGTTTTGATTTAAAGGAATGAAGTTGTGACGTAAATAAATGAATGAAGTTGTGACGTAAATAAATGAATGAAGTTGTGACGTAAATAAATGAATGAAGTTGTGACGTAAATAAATGAATGAAGTTGTGACGTAAATAAATGAATGAAGTTGTGACGTAAATAAATGAATGAAGTTGTGACGTAAATAAATGAATAGTAAAGTAAGCTCAACACACAGTCAGTATTTCAGGAGAGCGTCGTGCTTTCATACGCTAATTGGTGAAGCTTTTGTGGTCATGAATAAATAATATTTCTCATAGGGCTTCATGGGTGGAGAAGCTTCGGTGTTTGAGTG